ACCCACCCACCCCAAAGTCAAAAGGAATCCATGTACACACAAGTGGAGCTCTGGGCTGTGAAGTTTTGCACTTTTTATAGGTATAGGCAGAATTCTTGGTATGCGAGTTTTGATGTATATACTAGTTCAAAGTATTAACTATACTTTTCGGTTTCCCTCTGCATCCCTCTCCTTAAATCCTGGCCTCAGTGAAACCAGCAGCTCTGCTGAGAGGAGAGGCTGCAGCCCAGGCCCAGCCCTCGCTGCTCATTTGCTAGAGAAGGTTCTGCAGAGTTGGACAATCCCAAATTCATTAACCCCTCTGATAGAGCCTGGATGTCATACAGGTATTAAACAGCTTTAAGTGATACTTGGTTCTAAATATGTGGATGAGCTCTGTGAGCTTTACCCATATATACTGGCAGCTTAGAAATGCAGGTAGGGGGTTTCTGAGAGTGATTTTGAGTACAGATACACAAAGAAACAGCAGGGATTTATCTTTCGGTGCTAAATTTAGAAATCTGAAAAAACAGAACAAAATTAAAACCCAAAAGCTCCTATTATTTCTTACCTCTAGGTCTCAAACATTTGAATGTGAAATCTCTGAATTAACAGTAAACTAAGTCACTAAGCACTATGATGAATACATGCATTCCTGCTCCAGATATTTTATTTCTCCAATAACAGCAGAAAAAAGAAAAAAAAAAAAAAAGTTTATGTTTTCATTTGCATGGATGAACATGGGGAAAATTTTTTAGATATGTACCTTACTATAATACAGTGTGTTTACAAGCACAGAGTTTACGTGGCAGTGAGGGGCAAGGAGGAGTCTGCAGCAACACAAGCAACTCAAACACTGTTAAAAAGGGAATTTTAATCATAAGTTTTACATCTTCAATTTTATACCTCATTACGTGTCTTCCCACGCTCCATTTACTCAACACAATTTCATGTATATTCAATAATGCCATTATTCCCATTTTCCTTGTACTTGGGCTGGATTTTGCTTTTGATTATGTAACAGTTCACCGGACTTGTCGAATTTGAAATTTTCTGCTTTTTTTCTATTTAAACGACTATTTCCATCCCAATTATTTTTAACAGCTGTATATCTTTGTTCAAAAAAAAAAAAAAAAAGTTCACAGGGAATCAGTGGAAAGTATTAAGTGAAAGTGACAAAGGTATTTGTGACAGAAGTTCATTATTTAGACATTTGTACTAGACCATAATCACTAACTAGAAAATGATTGCAGATAAGATGATTGCTACTGAAAGTTATAAATAGTCTCTGCTGAGCACATGACTATGGAATAATCAATGTACATTAGATGTAATTATCAGCTGAATAACAGGGGAAAAACAAAAGCAAGTCTGTGCTGTGTTGCAGCTGCAATATTGAACAGCTACTCTTTTAAAAAAGATGAGGATGGCCTATATAACTGAAGGGTGTTCGTACAAAGGCGTCTGATCTCCCTTTCCTGCACACTCACAAACCACCCTCAGTGAACAGAAAATTATACCAAGGGACCCCCCCTGTGTATATCACGTAGCTTTAAATAATCTTATTCAGTCAAACATGGCTCCAGTACGTGACACTTTTAAATACATTCATCTGCCAAAATGTACAGAGTATACCATTAAGCTCCCATTCTCCCACGTATACAAACGGTTATCTCTTAGGCTGTATGAAAGCATAGCAAGAACAGACTGTGAAGACCGCAACTTAAACCTTGTATCAATCTGCTGCTCTTTCAATAAGTCAAAAGCAAAACTTACTGTCATATCCTTGGTATCAGTGACATACATAATGCCACACGCTATGAACGCGTTACCAGCCTTGGACTTGGGATATGTAGTATTGATGTAACGGATGACGGAAAATGTTTCTTCGTCAATATGTGCTACTATGATATTTTCATCAGTGCTTGAGGCATATATAATCCAAAGACCCTTCTCGTCCACTGCTACATTGAAATACGTCTTCGAGTTAGAAAAGAGGTAGTTACGGCCATGATACAAGGCATTTTTAATCGGCAGTCTGCCCAGCGATGCTTTATCAAGCCCGAATCTGAAACGAGATAAAGTAAGAATTTGGTTTGTTGTGTTAAAAATTCATTTTAAACACGCTGGTTGGTTCAATCAATTCGGAATACGTTATTACTGATAGAAGCATTGTTGAAAATACTTCAAGGATCATTCTGATGTCTGTTAAGATTAAATAACCACTCAAAGCACCTTCCAAAACACTAGGAGAAAATTCCAAAGCAATAACCAATTTAAAAGGTGCACAAGAGCATGAACTCGCTTTGGTAGGTTTTACTTTATTTAGTCTATGAGCTTTATTATCACTAGGATGAAAGAAGTAACTAAAAGGAATGGGCATGAAAAAGCATTAGATACCAGGTGAAAGCCCAAACTTGTGAAATGAAATCTGTACAGAAGTTTGCTTTCTACTAGGTGGGAACTAAAGGGAGAAAATGTGATTTACCAAACCAGCATCAATTCTGGGCAGGTTCACCTAGTCTTAGAGTTCCTCTTTTGAAAACAGTTCAGATAATGCAGTGATTTGCTCAAGTAAACATCAAAAGAATAAAAATTCTCCTTTTGCAGAGCCAAAATTCTGACCTCATGCTGGCCTCCCAACAGGACAGCCTGAATGTCTCATCTCTGATGTATAAAATTGTTTTTATTCCTTGAAATTCCTTAATAGGATGATAATCTGAGGACAGCAGCATTGAGCAGCCAAATTGAGTTCCTCTACTAGTTGAAGAGGGTAATCAGCTACTATCAAGACACATTTGCAGTTAGCATTTAATCACTGCATAATGCAGTGCTTTAGCAAAGGCAGGGAGAGTACGCTCCAGCCGTTTCAGTAATGAGGCACATTTCATTGTCTGACTTTGATCTAACTGTAGAGCTTCATTCCTCAAGTAGAGAAAAACATAATACAGGAATCTGCTCATTACAAAAGTTTTCTGAAAAGACAGGCTTAATGACAGAAACATTTCAGATCCTGGAACTTACGATAGAAGGAAAAATACTGGAAGAATTATTTTCTTCTGTAGAAGAGGCGTTGATAGCCTATACTGGAAAAATCACCCAAAGAAAAGTCAAGAATGACTAACTAGATGATTCCCCTCAACTTTTATAAAACTCACATTGGCAGCAACTCCATATTCCAGCAGCATGTATGTGCAATAAAAAAAGGCTTCAAGGCTGGAGCAGATTTCTGAGAAACGTGTGTTAATCTCATTAGTTGCTTTGTGGTTTGTAAATAACCTCAAGCAAGGGCAAGGAGGACAGCCCTTAGCAGGAATAGTGACAGAAATGCTGATTTCTTCAGGATTTTTTTCTATAAAGAGCCAAGATAAAAAGCATCTCGAGATTCATTAGAAATGTGCAAGATCTGCAACACAGAACAGCCTGTCTTTTCCTCTTATGTGAAAATCCTGAAAGGAGCAGAAAAGTGAGGTTTAATTCCTGAGGTTCTCTCCCGCTGCCCCTGTCAAGGACACTAGCCTAAAACTCCGAATGGTTCAGAAATCTTCTGGCACCCTGGGGTAAACGACAAGACACAGTGTCGTATTTCCATCAGCCACAGGGAACTCAAGCTCCAAACACTTCTCTGCTCACTAACGTGAATGAAGTCAAGCAAAAGTAACAGAGGTGGGAACGCGTGTTGTGAAACAAAGGGAGAAAGGATGAAGCAGTCAATGTCAGGGATCTGATCATCATGAGAAAACCTGCCAAAGTCAGAAAAATGTCGCTTTGCCAGCTTTTAAACATGAAACTCCTTTTAAGTATTTTTTTCAACATCTGCAAAATGAACCAACCAGGTCCTCACCTGTTCTTTCCATTAAATCGAATACAAAAACTCCCAAAAGCTTGTCTGCAGCCCAAAAATCAAGGACTTCACTGTCACAGAATACATAGTGCCTCATTCTATCTGTGCTGAAGGTAAATAATAGTGAATAACGGAACAGAAAGGCCATCTCTCAGCAACTTCTTTGAGAGGTTTGGAAAAATTCCACACATAGCCTGTGTTCATCCGTACGTGAAGGCATTTCCCAATTAACGGTACCCAAGCAAGGCCAGGAGCCTCTGCCCTATCACCGTGGATTGCTTTAGACAGAGATGCTCGTTTACAGACATATAAACAAAAAGCCCTAAAGATATTTAAAAGGAGATAGCCAGAAAGTGGGCTTGTCTCTGGCAGAATAAATATTAGAAAAACCAAGCAGCTTGCTCACATTCCTTGACATCCAAACAAATATAGGAAGGCAGCACTCACACCTGCTTGGGAACAGACATCAAAGTACAGTAATGTTCTTGGCTCAAACATCAGAGTCGTGTAAGAGAACTTGAAAGCAGATGCAATCTTTCACTTGCCCTTGGACTGTCTGTCTTTGGCTCTTCCCACAAGATGAGAGTTTGGTTTTGATTTGTATTGTCTGTCTCTGTCCTCAGGAGAAACTGAAGAAATAAAGATGTAATTCCCAGTTCCAATTCTGGGAGATATATCAGGAGAGTTGTAGGAACTTCTTATTACAAGGAAATCAAAGAGTGGAGCCACCCCTCCACAACGGAATGTGCAATTCACCAGGTCGCCACGTCCTCAGCTGGTGCCTTCGCACATTCCTCCCCGCCAGCAGCATTAACTCAGCCCCCGCCAGCTCGGAACGCTCTGTCCGAGAGCGAAGCACGTGGGTCAGCCCCCCAGGCAGCTCTGCAAAGGCGAGTTCCACGAGTGTGCTACAACCATAGAACCACTCACCGGTGTCCCACAAGCTGCAGCACAACTAATTCTCACTCTGATGCCGGTAGTTGCACAGCTTGGGTTTTTTTAAATCAAATACTTTTTTCTGAACCCCGAATTCCATAGTCAGCTCCCGTTTATTTCTCATAATTATGAACATAGCAAAGAATCCAAGTGCAAGAACACCCACAGCAATGTAACGTGTCATAGAAACCCATGAGACCCCAGGATAGCCAAAAGAAAAATCTGTTGGCACCTCTGCACATGGCACCTTGTTCATCTGGAGGCCCAGCTGTCCTCTCAGTAGTAACTACTCAGGTTACCCGCTCAGACACAGGGCTGAGCAATGCTTAAAGAACTGACCATCACACCTGACTACCCTCCCAGTTCCTCTCCTCCCACAGCATCTGCACACACAGGTGGAAAGCTGGTGGCCCACATTCTAGTTACAGAGTGGAAAGAATTAGCTTTTCTGTTCTGGAAAGGACTCTGAACCATTCTTCATATTCTAGATCGGACCAAAAAGAAACATAAAATGGCACAAGGAAAGGGATCTGCTTTTCTGAGGTGCACCTCTGTCACTAACCCATTGCTCCTCCTTCCACAACACCACTTGCCTTACAACAGCTATGTCTGACTTACTTCAGAATGACGTTGGTTCCTCCCTCTTGATAGTACAGATGATTGTTTTGTACTGCATGACCACATCCGTAAAAGAATCCTGTGATGTTAATGACCCTGTAGCTGTCATTCAGCAAGGCATTGTAATTCTCATATTCTTTTACAGAGTTTCCTAAATGAAGCAGAAAACATGAAAAAAGGACTACCATTTGGTTCATGTAATTTTGAAATCTCTACCCGAAAATTCAGTCTCTACTGGAACTCAATCTCAATCGAATACCTGACAGACAACAATTGCATTTATGGTTTCAATAGTGATTTAACTTGCTGTAACGTGATCAAATAATCCAGAGACAAGCACCAAAGAAAATCTATAGAGGTGGTGTTCAAGGGCCTGATTCCCACAGACCTGATGGGCTCTAACACTGAACACCATTAGGGAATATACAGAAAATATTTCTTTTTTCCAGTTAGGTCCTTGAAATTCTCCTGCACTAAACATAGCTCATACAGCATCTGATTCATTTTCAAGGCTAGCTGAAAAAAAAAGGCAAAACTCCCAACTAAAATTTAGGGAAGTAAAGCCACAGGAAACTGTTGAAATAAAAGAATAAAAAGGCATGAACAACAGGCATTTCAACTTGGTGAAAAAAAAACTAAAATCCTCAAACTATTTTCAAAATTTGATGTTCACTCTCAAAATATCTAAAGATACTACAAATGTAGTCAATTGTTATACAGGTAATATGGAAAATATTCTGAAAAAGATGTGGGTAAAATATATCATACTTGATTAGAAATTGTTTAGGTTGAAGGAATTAAGAAAGCAGCATTAGTATAACAACTGATTTTTGATCAGTAACTACTACTAGTGTACCTGAAAAATGCATGGTAAGCCAAATCCTTTCATCACTTATATTGGCAGGTTCCCGCATCCAAGTTCCAAACGTTTGCTGTACACTGCCAAAGTGAACAGGACTTCCTACAGATGTTATGACACATTCTAGTAGAGAAAAAGAACATATCCATTATCTATTTGTGACATTAAAACAGTAAGTAGCAGTTAGTCACACTCTGTAGCAGGTTACCAGCTTTTTTTGAAGGACCAGGGGCTCTGTCTTCAGCTCTTCCAGCCAGGGTGTCATCATTTGGTACAGCACATGTCTCGCCTAGAGTTGAGAGAAAGGGTAAAACAAGTCATTTTTCTGTATTTGACATGACAGATGTGCACATCAGTGACGCCACTAAAAGAAAGGAACAGCAACTGGGATACTGTTTCATCTGAGGAAAAAAGCTTGGGTTAGTCTGGTCAAAAAATGAGACAAAAAAAGGCTTGCTCTCACTTCTGTGAAGGAAATAAAGTGTTTGGGCAGGTTTGTTTCCTTAAAGCTGTCAGCCTGACAGTCAGCTTTGAGGAGTAACTAATTTTACTCAAGAGATTTAATTCCTTAGCTGTGAATTTCTGAGTAGCTGCTTGGAAAGAGAGTTGCCCCTTTCCTTCTGTAGCTTCAGACAACTGCAACAGCTGGCAGCTGGCTGATACAGTGGTAATATCAAAAAGCTTTCTTAGGAATGAGTGATGGCTAAACTCAGAAGCTTCATGCCCAAATCTACAAACTCCAGCAGAGGAGGTCGGTTCTGTAGGCAACACAAGTTTTGCTCCTGCTGTTAATGCCCAAGACACTAATAAAATAATAATGAATATATAAGAATGCAGGTCAGTCACCCATGCCATTAAAGCAGCAGTATGAACCACTGAGGGAAATTATATTCCTTACACACATAGAAATGGTCCATATCAGAAACCAATAAACCCCTGGAACCATTTTTCCCCACCCCTCAACAATTGAAAGGGTAACTGGTTAGGTTTTCTCTTAGCATTTACTGTTAAAACAATGCCTGAATTATTTCTGGACCTTTTCTATAAATCCAGCTCCCTCTTCTGCCTTTAAAACAATGTAACACATTTCAGTTCGCTTAGAATAAATAACCAGAGAACAGTTCTCAGCTCTTTGCTGAAGGTATCCTGATTTCACTGTAGCCTTGTTTTCTAACTGCATTCTTAACTTTCAGCTCCTTACACATTTCACACTGCTTGACATGCAGGATGCAAAGTCTTTCCGACATGCATTTTCGGACATGCATTTTTGTTGTTGCTTTCTAATACATTTCTGGGATTTACAGGGCTGTGATGAAGTTTAAATGAGAAAGGTAGTAAAAATATGAAATAACTATCAAGTAATGCTGAAAGGGTACCATGACATTCGGGGAAGGACAGACAGATTATAGTGCACTGTTGTTTTCTCCTTCAGGTTATATCCTCTCTTTGTTTGTGAAGAGGGAAACTACTCCAAGAACAACACATATTCCTCCCACCCACTTATGTAGGACATTTGGTGATATGACACAGAAAGTCTGCAAGTGATCACAGTGCAGCTCTAAAATAAGGCCCAAACAGTCCATTCAACCATGGGAAGATGAATCCCTATAGCTAGAATCTAGCAACCCCTCTAGACCCCCTTCTAGCTTCTGATCTCAAAATATTGTCAAAATATCTCAAAAATGAACCCATTCAGCAGAAATTTTAAGTTGCAGTGCACAAATTAATTTTCCTGGGCTGAGTCTGACAGATACAGCTAACTGAATGAGCAGTTCTCTATACAGTAGTTTATCTTAAGACTGTAGAGCAGGCAAGGACCAGGTCAGTGTCTGTAGTGAAGTCGGGGGCACTATTTGCGTTTGCGAGTGTTTGCAATATTCTCTGAGGACTTTCAGCTGCATGAAGCGGAAAGCAACTAAGACTAAAGAGATAGTTCTCAATCGGAGTCTCTCATGTGAACTTTTCACTGCTTTCTTTCCATCAAAAAAAAGATAAAATATTCTACTGATTCCTATCATAAAATATTCTGGCTGAGAGTTCATGGAGTTTGCAAGACATTAGAAGTATTGATTTGGTGTGTCTGGGGAGGGTGAGAAGGATGGAGTCAGGGAGTGTGGTGCAGGGATCTCTTGTTTCTTTTAGATTTAGCTAACAGTACCACTGAGATCAAATACACCTGAGCTTCCAACTAATTATTCTCTTCTCTTAAAGTAGTAATGTTTTACCTGATTGAAAATCTAATTTAAAGAAACCATTCTTGCATTCTTATGTAATAAGTTAATTACAGTTGTAAATCACCATGTGTATTCTCTTCAAAGGGATATGAATATTTAATTACAAAAGCTGGTTTATTCTTTGAGTTTTGGTAATAAGTTCTCACAGCCTACTGACTCATAAAACGTAAATGCTCACTGAGGAAGATCTATTTGAGTATAACTCCCATTTGCATGCTGGGAGTTAAAAATCTATCAGAAATCCATCAGACAGCTTATCCTCCAAAGCACTTCAGTCTGTTTCAACACTTGAGAACAGGCTACCTGAGTAAATGGCCCAATTATATCTTGTACAACAGTTCGTGCATTTCTGAATTTCAAACAGGATGAGATTTCTGCTCCAGCTATCTATTTGCCATTGTGAGGAGGCTCTTTGGGCTTTGTTCTGATACTTCAATACCCAGAATCTCCTGACTGAGGTTCTTACATCCCCTACAATGACAATTACATGCTATATTAAAAATAAGAGGCGGAAATAACTGATACACGTTCCACCCAGTATTAAATATTCACTAGTTAACAGCATTTATAATAAGAAGGAAAAAAAAAAAAAGAGATTTTTCATCTCAGCAAACTTCAAAATGATGGCGACATATAACTATATCACCCTATTAATGGTGAGGCATTGCTATGGTTTAGGCCCAGCCAGCAACAAAACACCACACAGCTGCTCACTCAGACACACAAATTGCTCTGTTTTACATTTAATAACTGCATGAAGTTCTTGTGCTATTCCCCTTCAGTATAGCTGTGAAGAAACTACATTCCCAGTTACAAATGAAACCCCACTTCACCAAACATCGTCACTGATAACTCTCTTGTCCAGAAATCTGAAAGATTAGTAACTGAGACATCCTTTGCTATTCTATTCACCTGTCATTCAGGACACAATAATGATAAATAGCAACAATGGAAAAGAACTCAAGATCACCCTGCTGCAAAACTTATATATTCAAATGGACACAAAAGTCCCAGAGAATCCTTTTGTATTCCTCCAGCTTTTAGACGTCTTAGCTAGTTCAAGCTTGCTTCAGTTCTGCCAATGACCAGGCAATTTCATTCCATAGAATACGGTGAAACGCAGCCTACCAGGTGTTATATTTACATGTAAGATTAAAATCCAGCATTTTAAAAGCTAAAAATTTCAGCTGCAGTTCTCTTACTTTCCAAACATAACCCATCTAACAGAAAAAAACACATATAAATACTTTGCTTAAGCATTATTACAGCATGATTAGAAAAGTAATATTATACTGGAAATAGTGTGCTGCCTTATCCAAATCATATTTCAGCAAAACACCTGAGCACATGCTCAGCTTTAAGTTTGTGCACTTTTACTGATGCCAGCAAAATTCAACACGTGCTTCCTGTTCTGTGAGACTCGGAGCAACGGGTTTAATCTTGAACAGAATCTAGAAAGAACACTGGAAAGAACTAACCTGTGCATTTGCTGCTGTATATGCTCTCCTGAAGCTGTGCTTTACCTTTACGTCTTCCCGGAGGCCCTGGGGGTCCAGGTGGTCCAGGAGGCCCTGGTGGTCCAGGTTCACCTTTTGCACCTACAACCAAGCCAGAGAACTATGTCATGGGCCCCGCAGACAACCCGCAGAGAACAGCACGTGTACATACGATGGACGTGAGAAGAGAGAGGCTCTTTTAGAGATCTCTCCAAGAGGTTTCTGTGTACAGAAATACAGTGCAATAAACTCACTGGGATGCTGTTTGTTAGAAGGTGAACCAACACAGAACTTCACAAGCCATAGGACATCAATGAAATTTATCTGTCTGGATTACAGGCACATTAGAGAGTCACAAAGCACTGTTGTCTTTTAGTTACTGTATTCTAAGACCTCGACTTCAGATGCTACAGTGGTATAATTTTACACAGTTTATATATATTTGTGGCTGCTTCATGTATTCCTGAGTGGAAATCTACCCCTCTTTTTCTAACAGAAAAAAACAACTGCACTGCAAGAGAGAGCAGGAGGAGGTCGGCTCCCTGGAAACGTGCTACAAAGGGTGGAATTCATGTACACCTCAACCTAAAGCCCAAGCAGAAATATTTTTGTGAAGACTTGCATAAAAAAAAGAGAACATAATCTCCTGGGCAGAGCAATACTCAGACTTCACTGTGGATAACTGTGGTCCTACTCTTGCAGATCACATTCATGCTTCAGAAGAAGAGTGTATCTTTTTCTGTCGAGTAGACTGTTAGAAGACAGCTCCTAAGAGCACTTCTTCCTACCTTCTAATATCACATCATTGTTCGCATCTCCCTTTTCACCCTTTGCTCCTCTTGCACCTTTTCCTCCTGGCATACCGTCCTTGCCAGGGAAACCCATTTCTCCAGGTTCTCCTTTCTGTCCTTGATCACCTTTTGGTCCTGGGACACCTAGAAATAAAAAGCATTTCAATACCATTCCAGTATTACGCACAATCAATTTATATATATATTTTTTAATACAAAACATACTCACTCTAGTTGTTTTTTTCACCTGTATTTAACTGGGTAGCTGTAAATTCGTTCTGATTTCAAAACAACACTGTAACCTAATACGTAGGGAAACTGTGTACAATCCATTTGGTGCAATTACGACATTCAGTGATCGCTGAGTTTCGAACATGAAATGTACAGACCTGAGCCCCGTTACCATCGTCTGGAGAATTTCTGGGTAAGTAGGAATACTAAGGGAAGATGTGAAGCGATATATTCATTTCACATTTGTAAGGCATTAAAGAAGGCCATTGTCACAGTTCCTCTAGAGTTTTTCTTAATTACTCTCTAACATTACAACACACATAGCACTTTTAACATTTTTCACTGTCCCAGCAGAGTATAGATACAGCTATCTAGTAACATTTTCTAGAAATCTCCCTCTGCACTTGTTAGAAGCATGATTAATTCACATACTTTTTGCACTTAGCCATAGTTATTATGAATCTGGAACCAAAACTTGTAAAATATAACAACTTCCACCACCAGATGTTGGCAGGTTGAGGGAATGGAAATATTCTCACAATAACAGCATTTACTAGCAAGTTCAGAATACTGACATTCAATATCTTTAATCTGAAATATTCTATAGTGTACATATGCTATCTTCCTCACTGTGGAGTAAGTCTGAAGTAAGCTACCAAAGCTTAGTGCAAGACAATGAATGCTACAGAATTCTGTAACATGCAACTTCTTTGTAAACATTGAAGCCCTTCTCCCTATACAAAGTTCTAAAAGTAACTACATCTGAATATAACAGTAAGAACGGATTACTTTTTTAAACAAACAATGAAAAAATATACCTATTTTTCCTCTTTTTCCATTTATTCCTGGTTCTCCCTTTTGTCCTGGTACACCTGGGGCTCCATCTGATCCATTGTAGCCAGGCAGTCCATCAAGTCCAGGAGGTCCTGAACAATCCAAACAGCATAACTGAATTTTCACTGTTAAATGAAATTTATGCTTAAAACTATTATGTTTACATATAGTATGTTTTTATCCTTAGACCTAAAAAATCCTCTAACAGGCCATTATGTCCTCCATGCCAACTGAGTATCCTCCTTAAAAAAAACCCAAAACACACACAACCCCCCCACACACACACACACACAAAACCCCCACCTCCTAACCAAACCAAACAATACAAACAAAGAACACCCACCCGCAAAGAAAAAAACTATGAAACCAAACTTAAAGGTAAGGTGTTTTCTTGCCCTGGCCTTAGGAAAAGAAAAATGACTGAAATGAATACTGCACAGGTTTTGCATTAAGGCCGGCACGGATCAGCCTTTTGGATTCCCTCCAAGGACAAACACAGCAGAACCCATCCTCTTTCTGAATTTGGCAGTGACTGTAACATCTTCCACAGGCCACATAAGTTTTAATGTTGCTTATGATATTGCCCAGACTAATCTAACACAAGAAAAGCATTTACCTACTTGTCCAGAGTACTGCAAACCATGACTGGTTGGTAGAGGAGACATCACTCCCTCTTTGTTGCTACTTGAAGCCCCACAAACAAAAAGTACCTGATACTTTTCCGAAACAGAGAATTGTTCTAAGCAGACCCACAGCTAAAGAAGCACAGAAAGCAGGCAAGTAACTTACCATTCCTACAGCCTAGCAACCACAGGTGAGAACAGAGTTAAGTAAGAAAGCAGGAGAAGTTATGGGGGAGGTAGGAGGGTGGAATCAGTAACCAATGTTTTTTAAAGGTAGGTTTGTGGTGTTAAATTATAATATCAGTTTACTTGGGGGGGGGATTTTACATATATACACTCATCTCTTCAGCTAAATACTACTTAAAACAGTCCTAATTTCATCTGGTTTTGATCAAATATGTTTTAGCAAATCTGAAACTATTCTACTCTCTCCACTGGAGAAGTATAATGTCTGAAACTTCCACCCTCTCAGGGCACGAGCTGACCTAAATACAAAAATTATAAAGGCTGGCAGTCATTCAACCCTCCCCCATTCTAATTAGCAAAGGAAGATTATTCTATAAAAGATACATTGCCACATTTTGTACCAGCAACTGCTTTAATTACCAAAAAATGTTACTGCAATTGTCCAAGTATCTTACCTGGGGGACCGGGTGGGCCTACAACAAGGAGAAGCAAAAGAATGCAAAAAAGAAGGAATTGTGAGTTTAACTTAGCAAGAAAACAAAAAGCAATTTCAAATCGAATTGATTAGCATTAGACCAGAACAGTAAAAGGGGAGGAAAGCCCCTCAAATTTCAAAATTAACACCTATGGATTTAATGGCTTTGTATTATAAATAACTATTTGAGCATTAGCAGAAAGTCAGACTTACTGAAAGAGCATCCTTAAAAGCAGTTACATATACACATACTTTTTTTGCTTTTTGCAAATTTAGTTGATAAACGTTTGACAAACACACACCTCTACAACGTAATCACACTTCAGGGGCTTAAGTGCCTTTACAATGCCATGGGTGCAAGGCATCCAACAATCATTACGTTTACTTTAAAGAGTGTTCTCCAAGATCCCATTAGAGGAGAAAAACAGCAGCTTTACAATACTGATGAATGTTACAATTAAAAATCCTGTTGAAAATACACATTGAGAATACATGCTACACTTCTCCATGTTTAAGAGATATTTCATTGCAGTCCAGGAATCAGACTATTTAAATAGAAGAAAAAAAAATTTAAAAAGTCTTGTCATTCCTATTAACTACCTCTAAATCACAATTGGGCTTTTCACATGTCATTGTCCTCCAGGCTGGACCAAGCTCCCCACAGAACCTCACTGGTGTATTAGAAATTGGACTTGCTTCAGTTATTCAGCAAAATCTGTCTCACTCTCTCTGACCTAGTTCAAGTATAGGGCCTTAATGAGTAGAAAGCATACTGGGCAGGAGTGAAGCAAGAGTAAACGAGAAAAAAAATTGTTACAGAAACGTGTGATCCCCAAAACACATTAAAAAAAAAAAAATTACAACAACAACCAAAAAATCCACAACAGGAAAAGCAGGTTAGGAAAAAACAAAGAAAGGTGGTAGATGCCATTAAAGAACCAAGTTAGTTCTGTGAACGTTTTTATCCAGCCAAAGTACCGTCTTGTTTCAACAAAACTCTCTACAACAGAAAATAACGATAATTACTAGATTTCCCTAAAGATGACAATTTTCAGCATTAATTAGAAAGCCTTATGAGTAAAGTGAAAATCATTTTATAATACCATTACAGCAATTATCCCTTTTAATCAGTACAAGCAGTAACATCAGCTAACATCTTCCTGCCAATTTTCCAGTAAATGACCATATTTTCCTCACTACAATGTTACATCCATTAGTGCGTTCCATTATTTCCTCAGCTCAAAAACTGAGGCTCTTGATTATCCAAGTAAGAAAGGTGCTTGCAAAGCAGCAAGTGCCACAGAAACCTATAGCAGAGAAAGCCAATAATACTGACAAAATTTAATAGTTTCGAGACAGCAAAAAGCCACAGAAGGCACCAAGTAGTGTGAATTCAGAAGCCTGGAGACAGAGAAACAAACGTTTAGGTTGTCTGCAGTTCAGCCTCGGTTGCAATCAGAGCTGCTCCACAATTTCAGAAGTAGTATGTAGTGTCTGTATGTACTATGGTAATCCGCATTCACACTGAAACCCGTTGAGCCAAGTGAAACCAGACAGCAAGTGAAGCATTTTCTTAAACTCATAAAAAGTGGCTTATTTCTAATCTTCTCATTTCCAAAAAGAACACGTGACTCAGTCTGTTACAGACTTCAAAGCTGGACCATAGCCCTTAAACTGGTTACTACCTGACATTCTCTTTCCCAAATCTCACAGAAACTTGTCCCAGCCATCAGCCATTCCAACTCCTCACTGGTGACATGTGAAACCCAATGCCCAACACAGGGGAGGCAAACACATTGCTCATCTGACTCTCCTCCACAGCACTTACAATTAGAAAAACAAGTTTCTACACCGTGTATGTTCATCCCATGTTAGCCTTGAAGTGTGGGGACATATGCAAAAATACCAAGACTAAACCTCAACTCGCATTCTAAACACCCAAGTCTGTAAGATTTGTTTACGAAAACTACATGGGAAAGAAACAGCTTCAAGTAACATCACC